CAAAATCTTGTAATGAAAAAGATAGTGTGTCTACCCAATTTAGAATTTAGAAAGCATCTTCCTCCACCTCAGCAGATTCTCTGGATAGAAATATGAATAGACTAATATTTATGTCCATAAACTTAATTACGATGCTGCCCTTTCATAAATAATTTCAGCATAGAATTTAAAGGCTGCAGCAAGGTTAAGGATGTCATTCAAAATGTAAGCTTCCGTGCATATCAATCTACGGATAAGCAACTTGTTATCAATCAGATGTGAAGCCTCATGAATGATACCATAGAATCTCTCCTTTTCAGTGTCAAGTAAGCGCATCAACCCAAGAACTTCAAGACTTCTTATCTATATATATAGCATTAGCAAGAGTTCAGTTCACTCACAACAAAACCTAAAGTTTCATACATATAGCCTCTAGCTATCAGTCACTAAGACTTTCTTTCACTAAATTTGGCCTGTTAATTAGTTTTCTGTTTTAAGTATTGGTACAAGTTCCCAAGATGGCCACAGTTATAGCGTTGGCGAATGAAAGGTCGGTGGTTATATTTAGCAAAACCTCATGTTGCATGTGCCATACCATTAAGACATTGATAACTAGTTTTGGAGCAAATCCAACTGTTTACGAGCTAGATGAGCATCCAAGGGGACAACAACTAGAGAAGGAACTCAAGGGAATGGGGTGTAAGCCAAGTGTACCAGCTGTGTTCATAGGGCAGCAGCTGATTGGGGGTGCCAACGAGATAATGACCCTTCATCTCAAGGGTCAGCTGGTGCCACTGCTCCTCAGCTCCAACGCTATATGGGTTTAAGGAAACGTGTTATAAAGTATCAATATTTTACAGTATAGAGTTAGAGTTGAGTTAATACATTATTATAAGAGCAGTTTGATGCCTCTACAGTTGCTATTAGAACAGGAAAGAAGAGTTTTTCTGCTGGTTTTTGTTCTCTTTATTTATTAGTCCATGACAATCCATGTGCCAACTTGCACATGTACTTCCCTACTTTTGAGAAGCAACAAGAGATACCATGTTTTGCAGAAGTTGTTAGTGTGTTTTGAAGAAACAAATATTTATGCCCAAAAATTTCTGATTTGGTCTCAATTACAAGTTCCTTGATTAATTATTTAAATTCTCTTTGTTTCCAATGAGCTCCTGTTAGATATAATTTTCTAGAATGCTGTTATATATTGTGAAATTCAATAACTATCTACTCCACTTGTTTCTATGGATCTTGAATTCAACCGGAAAACTGGAAAAGAGAACAGAACCAATCTGGTTGTAAGAAAAACCAAAAAATATGGTTCCTTGGGGCTAGAAACAGAGAATTTATGTTCATTCGATTTCAGTTTTAGGCGAAAACCGAGCTGAACCAAACTGTGCTCATCCCTATTCTTTTTCATGTTAAACTTGTTCCAAAACAGCAAGAACTTGCTTATGCTAGCAGTAATAATATTTCAACACTGTAACATCATTGTGCCACTATAAGAGTTTTCATAAAAAAGCAACTAATAAGGGACAGTTAAGAGGCATAAAAGTACCGCAACCTAAAGTAACTGTAATAACTAAATTCAAATTCCAGTTTACATCTCTTATCTGCAATCCTTTTCTCTCAACAACTGTGACTAAGACATAATTCAATAGATTGTGTTTTGGTCACTAACAATTGGTTAAATCCTATGATGACAAAAGATTATACAGATGACCTTAAGTACGTACACATCTTAGTATATTACTTCTTTATGTTAGTCTGCATTACACCTAAAATCCACATATGGTTGTCACTAAGTGACTCAATCTGGATCTGTCTTTTTATGTGGTATTTCTTGATGTTGTCAGTGTAGCCCTCAACTGATCATAGTTCTAGTACATTTTTACAACTTCATTATCCAGTCATTCCCATGTCTTCCACTAGACTAGTTGAAACAATACTTTTAATTCAACAAAACTGACACTGATATTTATTTAGAAATAGTACTGTCTGATGAAAATTACATAGAAGATAAGAGAAACAATAGAAGGATATCTCATGTTTGTCAGATCGGCATTAAAAAGTGTTACAGAATCACATGTTTCACAGAGAAAAAAGCTGTGCATCTCAACAGGTCACTTGCATAAAGCCAATGTATCACTACTCGCAAGTAGAAAACCTTGTGATTTGATTAACCAGCAGGAAACAACACATCACCAGGATGCCTGTTAACACCATGATGACTGATGCTGGAATTTCCATGGGTTTCATTTGTTTCTTTTCTGATCTTGATCCGAGATTTTGAGAATAACTAAGATCTTCAAGTGAAAAGAAGAAATTCTGAAACAGTTTTTAGTTACTTTTTTACAAGGAATGTTCTCTTATCTCACCAGCAACTAGATAAAGTTTCAAAAGGTCAATATAAAATGCTTATCATCGGCAATCCTCTGTCCTTTTCTAGAAGTGGAAAAGGTGCGGGAATAACAAACCCACAAATCTTCAAAATCAATATAGACATGTGCTGCAAGGACTCGACTATGCATTCCTATTTTTAACCACACATACACGCTTCACTTTCTGGATAAAAACCAAAGATGAAAGTTGAAATCTAGATCTTAAATTTATGTGTCAAAAATCATAATTGTAAGTTATTCAAAGGTAAACAATAACAGATACCTATATACGTACCGAGCAGTGCCTATGAAAACTCAAGTATATTTGCACAAGACAGATACACTTGAATAATAATAGCAAAAGAACAAGGGGATAAAATTAAACAATATGCAAAACCGAGATGATAAAATACAAGAGACTATATATAT